TGCACCACGTGGAGGTAAGTCTATCGCACACCCCTTGTTTCAGAAGATAAAATATGCTGTAAGAGTACATGGAGGCCCAATTTACAAAAGTTCTGTAATTTCTTAATTGTGAGAATTTGAAATTCCTGAGCCGGAAGCTCCTCGCATGCAAAATTTATTCAAAATGAATTTGCCAATAGATTGCCCTACCGCGGTTCAAATTAATGTTCCTCAACCCTTGTTCTGGCAAATGATTTAATGCCCATTTTTGCAGATTGCCCAATTTATAATCGTAAAGAGCAATGCCTACTTTAAATGGAGTTTTAGTGAAAAACTCAAACAGGGATTGAGCTACTTTAGTAAAAGAAATAGAACTAGTCGTGTATTATCCATTTATCAATTAAAAAAATAAACGCGGAAACCTTAGTTCTTAAAATAGATCACTTTCCTATAATAATTGATCGAACAAATGGGCACATTTGTGATACTTCAAGTAATGTGAGAAAGTTCTGTATTCCCGAAAATTTCACAATTTTTCAATACTCGTTCTATTTATTAAACAAATACGGGCATAAACAAGTAAAGCACTAATCTGAAAATCAATAAGATTCCAATTTAAATTTACAATGGGATTTCAGGTGTTTGACATTCAAGGCCAGTACCTGTGGATGTTGACATCATCCTTAGATGCACTGACTGAACCCAAAGGTTTAGCAATCCTACCCAGCGAGGAACTGATCGCTGTGGTCGACACAGGTAATTACCGAATCAAAGCCTTCAATCTCCTCCATCGAGCTGAGAACACTGAGCCCCAGATAAAGGAGTCTCCTAGCACCAATTTCTCATGGAAACATCCCGATCAAAATGACCTTGACAACGACATGATGCCTTGAAGTGTGCATGCTGCATTTCTCTAGGAAATTGACAGTCGCCACCGTTATTGTTTCAACCGCGTTTGAGCATTGTCAGTCATTCTGTTTGGTGATTACTTCATATGATTAATATTATTAGAGTGGAGAGAAATATAAATCAATGAGCATACTGAAACAACCGCTCTGTTTTAATATTTGTTTGCATGGTAATTAAGGGGTTAATTGTTTGAAATTATTCGATTAACTTTTGGCGAAGTGGACTAGCTAAACATTAATATACATTAAATTTTAATTAAATTCGTATGCATTTCCATGGTATATATTTCACGAAATATCTTTTCTTGCCCAAAGAATATAAAATATCAAAGTTTATTTTTAAATGCATAGTCTTATTTTAATTTTACTACATTAATAAACTCCCATATTCGCAACTTAGTAAAATTACTACCAATAGAAAAGAAATTGCCAGTAATAAATTTTGAAAGTAAAAGCAGCGATTTAAATATTTCCCTAAAAATAGGCAAGTTTATTTATTTTTGATGTTCTTCTCAAATAGTCACTTGCCAATTTAACTGCGTAGAAGTATAAACACTTTTTCCAGTTTCCTCAACGGGTAATAATCGGCCTAAAATAAGCATGAACAGCGAAAATCTTTTGACCGCCAAAATTACCCGAGCTTTAGTAAAACATTGAATTATTGATTCTCATTAGGTGAATTAAATGTTAAAACAAATATTGTCAAATGTCAAACAACTACTTATCAAAAAATATTGTTTAATATGAGATAGACACTTTTGCTAAGAGAATAGGTATCATAAAACACTTAACGAAAGGTTTATTTATTGCCATAGCCAAGCAAGATATTGAATGGATATCATTCTTAAATCGTACAATTAAAGATATGACCGAGGGAGTTGGCAAGTACTACTATCAACGTTATCGTCATTTTACTATCATTTTCAACCCTCTACAAATTTTAACCAACAGCCTTTTTTCACATCTAAAGTTTCAAATAATACAAAGTGACCATTGTTTTGGTCCGCTTTTAGTCGAGAATAATTTTTAAAAGCGATAAGGGTTTTTTGATTGAACAATTAGGAATGTATTAGCAATAAACGAATTGACGATTTATTTTCTGTTTAAGTGCATTCATGGTTCTATTAATTATTATTTATTCTTTCGCCAGATAAATTATGTACTCTCAAAAAATGTATTTTGTATTTCCTTCCAACATAATTGATTTTCTTAGCACAGAGTCAGCTTTCATTTCTTAAAGTTATTCATGGTGTATAAAGCGATAGTAAAATTGGTTGCCATAGTAATGATTATTGATTTGCACATCGATTATGGATATATTTACAAATAAAAATTTTTCAGACTCAAATTTCTTCAGAATGACTCCTGTAAACTCAATTTCTTTTAAATATGTCTGACAGTCAAGCACTTTCATCCTAAGAATGCTGTACTCAGTGATTATCTTAAGTTGAGGGGGGGACATTTTGAGGAAGACATAGATGCAAAACTTTAATATCAAATATATTTTATAATCATGTTCGATTATATCCCACAGATAACACAAATCGAGTGAACAGATGCATTGCATCAATGAATTAACTATTTGAAACACAGCTTGATTAGGAAATGTGCATGATTCTATTTAAGGAGATTTCTCGAACTGATGAAGTTGGCCTTCTCTTGATGACATGTTCTATGATAGAGGTCATGCAACCTCCGTATATTCCAATGGTCATTAAGAGCTACCTCGCAAAAAAAGAGGGCTTAAAAGAAACTCTTGATTGGACTATATCGAATACACTTATGTAGTTTCTTTTAAAGCTTCAAATTTCGGTACTCTTCTGCCGAGCGCGTCTAGAAGTGACATTGATTAGTGACCCATTGAGTGGAAGGAGGTAATGTTCAGAAAACGATAATTTAAGCACCCTCTCTTGAATCCTGTTAATTCTTCGGGTCAAATCAGGGCACATTAAATGCAATTCTAGTGCGATATTTTGAAGTATTTTAGTTTTAGCCCTCAGCCTTCTTAAAGTTTGTTTTAACAACATCGCAAAGGCTTTTGAGATATACTGATATATATATATATATATATATATATATATAA